GATTTCATCTCCTTGTCAAAAATCAGTTGACCATAAATAGATGGGCTGATTTCCGGGTTCTCAATTCTATTCCATTGATCTCTGTGTCTGTCATTGTACCAGTACCATGCTGTCTTGACTACCAGTGCAGTGTAGTAGGATTTTAAATCAGGGAGTGAGATGCCTCCTACCTTTTTTTCTATTTTTAAGGAGTGATTTGCTTATTCATGGCTTCTTTCCATTCCAAATGAAGCTGGAGATTGCCTTTTCCATCTCGTTGAAGAATGGAATTGGTATTTTTTTTTTGAATTGGTATTTGTATTGGGATTGCATTGAATGTGTATATTTCCTTTAGTAGTATTGCCATTTTCACAACATTGAGCCTTCCTCTCCATGAGCAGGGGATATTCTTCCACTTCTCCAGGAAGAGACTTCTTTTTAAGGGAGTTAAGATGTAACAGCAAAAATAACCCAAATAGAGAGGCAGGTCCAATTAGATGAGTTTAGAACCAAAATTAACTGACTTTTGAACTTAATTTGGTTTGTGAGTAAAGATTGACCCTCACTTGTTCTAATTATCAGTTTTAAGTCCAGAATTTTAAAAATACATCTCTTTTCATGGTAGTTTTGTGGTGTAATTCTGACTGGAAGAGATCAATATTTGTTTCCATTCCAAACAAAGGTGACCCAATAGGGTGTGGAAATTATCAAACAATATCATTAATACCACATGCAAGCAATATTTTGCTGAAAATTACCCAAAAACTACTGGAGCAACACATCAACAGAGAACTGCCAGATGTGCAGGCTGGGTTTAGAAGAGGTTGTGGTACTAGGGATATTACAGCTAATGTTAGATGGATCTTGGCAGAAAGCAGTACTAGAGGAATGTCTATTTGTGCTTCATTGACTATGCAAAGGTTTTTGACTGTGTGGATCACAACAAGCTGTGGCTGACTCTGAGCAGAATGGGAATCCCAGAACATTTGTTTGTGCTTATGCGAAACCTCTACTTGGGCAAAGAGGCAGTTGTCAGAACAGAGCAAGAAAATACTTTATGGTTCAAAATTGGAAAGGGCGTCCACAAGGGTTGTATTCTGTTTCCATACCTTTTCAATTTGTATGCAGAAGAGATCATGCTGGATCGTGGGCTATATAAGGAGGAAGGTGGCATCAGGATTGGTGGAAGATTCATCAACAACCTGTGTTATGCAGATGACACAATCCTGCTTGCTGAAACTGAGGAGGACATGAAGCACTTGCTGCAGATGGTCAAGGACTGCAGCCTTCAATGTGGATTGTAGCTCAACATCAAGAAAACAAAGATTCTAACCACTGGGCCAATTGGCAGCACCAGTATGGATGGTGAAGAGATTGAGATAGTTAACAGTTTTAGTTTGCTTGGCTCCACGGTCAACACTCTTGGTACCAGCAGCCAGGAAATCAAGAGATGAATTGCGTTGGGAAAGTCAGCTGTGAGGGACCTCTCAAGAATACTGAAGAGCAATGATGTCAGGCTGGAGACTAAGGTGCACCTGATCCATGCTATAGTCTTCACAATTATGTGCTATGCATCGGAGAGTTGGACAGTGAATAAGGATGAAAGAAAGAGAATTGATGCCTTTGAGCT